GAAGAGACAGAGGGGAGGCTAGCTTTTATGAGGTGCTGGGAGGACATGGGGTGAGTCATTTTGAAAATAACTTCATTGGGGAAGAACAAGAGCTCCAGGTTGTGGTGGTTTCTCACTGGCTGCAGGTGGTGAGAAGTTTGCTGTTACTGAGGCATGTGGAAATCTTTCTCCTTCCTGCTGCTCATGTAAGCTGAGAGGAGTGCTACATGCCCAAGAACTGTCTCCTCATGGCTTCCGAACTCCATTTTAAATCGGTTTCCTTGATTCATTTTCACAGCTGCTTTGATGGTTTTTTTAAATATATTGTCTCTTTGTGAAGCTAATTGGGGCATAAGGAGATCAGATGCCATACCTGCCCTTGGCCTCATTGCCACTATTCTACAGTCAACTGAGCCAATGGGACCAGGCAGAAGAGTTGTCAGTATATTTATTCATAAGTTATACTTAATGATTTCATGTCATATCTACTCTATTTTCAAAACTAAGACCATGTAGTCTCATTACCAGTTTTACCAGCTTGGCTATTTCCCTTCCCTCAAGAACTTTGCCTTCTCTCTCCTAACAATGGAAGCCTCTTCCTGCCCTGAGAGGAGGCTAACACCTACACCCTGGATTCCATTCCCCTTGCCTCTTCAGAGGCTTTACTCCAGTGTTAGCCTGTGTCTCTTGTATCATCAGTGTTGTCTTCTCTGTTTGATTATTTCCGCTGGTAAATTACTTGCCTTGATATCTATCACTCATCTTTAAAAAAGCATAATGGGTGTATTTATCCACTTTAATTCACCTTTACTGCTTTATTTTTCTCTGCTGCATCATACTCGTGGAAAAAGTTGTATAATCATAGTTTCCATCCATTTTCTAATTCTTATTCTATCTTCAGTTCTTTCTAATCAGACTTGCTTCACAGCATTCCACTGGAAAATTTCTTCTCAAGGGCATGGGCCTCCAGCTAACCAAAGCCAGTCTTATTTTCTGGCTTCATCTTACTCATTTGATGTCATCATCCACATCATCTTCATCTTTTTTAAAAAACGCTCCTTTTGTAGGCTTCCATAATTTTACACGAGCCTGTTTTTTGAGCCAGCTACCTCCCCCTGCCCGTTTCTTTGGGTTGCCTTTTCTTCCCCCATCTGATCATTAAATGTTGGGGACTATTCCAAGTTTCTAGCCTTAACCCTTCTCTCTTGTCTGCTTTCTGGGAGCTCTCTTTGGGTCCATGACTCCAGAATCATCTGTGCATTGATGATTTTCTGGCGCAGACCTCTTCTGAGTTCCGAATATGGCTAGCCAGCTGTCTACAGACCTCTCCACTTGCTTATTTAAATAGGCATCTCAGGGTCGCCTGGGTGGCCCAGTCAGTTAAGCGTCCAACTTCGGCTCAGGTCTTGATCTCGCAGCTCGTGAAGTTCGAGCCCAGTGTCGGGCTCTGTGCTGACAGCTCATGCTCTGTCTCTCTCTGTCTCAAAAATAAATAAACATTAAAAAACAAATGGGCATCTCAGGTGTAAATCTGTAAAGTGAAACTGTTAACTCTTGCCTCTCTTTTTCCACTTAATTCTGCAATTCCCAAAGGCCTGCTCTATCTTGGTGAATGTCTTTACTATCCAATCATTTAAGTGTATACACAAAAAAAAAAAAAAAAAAAAAAAAAACAACAACTTAGATATCATTCTTTATTCTTTTTCTTTCATCCACATCCAGTCGTTTAGCAAGTCCTGTCTGATCTTTTCACAGGATAATTGGCAGATTCAGTTAAAAACCTCAGATACTAGCCACAATCACCTCTTACTTTCTACTTAAACAGCCTCCTTACTGGTCTTTTCCCTCCACTCTTGCTCTCTTCAATTTATACTTCACACAACAATTTAAATGAGATCAATTATTACTACCATACTCTATGGTGCTTTAAATCCCTTCTGTTTTAGAAAGGTTTCTGTTGCACTTAGAATAGTACTAGTCTTCTCGCTATGTTACTTTAATAATCTCTTTGTTTCCCTCCAGTATAAGATTGCTGAATATATAGCGTGTTTATACTGACTCCTCAGGATGTAGAATAGTCCCTGCAAGTAGTAGATGTTAAGTAAATATAGGGTGGGGAACAGACTATTGTTACAAAACTCTTAACTTCATTATATTTAGATTATGTGAGTTTATTATTCTGCGTTTATGGAAATTAATTTCCCCCAAAGTGGAATTAAAACCTGTAATGTCCAGTTTATAACTTGTCATCCCCTTACTGAGCTCAATCACTGTTACTCTGTAGTATATGCTTTGATCCATTGTACCTTCTTAGGCCCTTCCAAACAAGTTTGTAAGATACACCAACAAATATTAATGCCTCTACCCCAACTGCCACAGACATTAAGTGACATGCGTAAAATTTCAGTAGGTGAACTGGAATCTAGGTCTTCTAGTTTGTAACCCAGATGACTTTATTGATGTAGTGTCTTGGGTGAGTGCTTGTATGTGTGGTAGTGGTTTAGAAGAATTACAGTAACCTTTAGGACTGGCTGCTTTTTTAATTCCCAGATTCCCTCCAGATACATTTTTTTTTAGAGTTTATTTTGAGGTGGAGGCAGAGAGAGAGGAAGAGAGAATCCCAAGCAGGCTCTGCACTGATGCTCCTGGATGTAGGACCAGATGCAGGGCTTGAGCCCACCAACCAGGAGATCATGACCTGAGCCCAAATCAACAGTGGGACACTTACCTGACTGAGCCACCCAGGCACCCTTTCAGATAGGCTTTTAAGCTCTCTTTAGCTCTGTGGCTCTTTTTATCAGCATTAACATAAAATGTTGGCCTCCGTTATAATTAATGTAGGTTTGGGTCAATTATTTTTATAGTTATAGTGGTGCTACTTAAAACTACTAGGTGTTATATACTTGTAATTAATAGTAGGTTCTATTAAGTGTGAGTTAAACTGATAAAACCAATATCTTCAGATTTCATAGAAAAAAAGATTGGAGACTGACAGCTAGGGAAGGTTGTCTTTTATTTTTTCTAGTAATGTCATTGAAATACAAGATATAACAAACTTACTATCTTTTTATAAGAGAAAGGGCACTTAAATTTAAAAAGCGGCAAGCACATAATCTCAGAACATCTCAAAGTTTAGTCCTTTAAAACAAATTTTGTTTTGTGGAAAACCTTACTGCATTGATTCTTCTGTCCCTCAATTAAACCATGGACCAGTGTTAACTGGTTTCAGCCAGGTGTGATTGGGGAGCATTGCTCTAGTCTGAAGAAACTGTGGATTGATTCTAAATTACAGTTTGCAAGTTTCTTCTCTCATATTCTCTTTCCCTCAGTCACGATTACTACAATCCTTTCATTCCTTTCTTTCTATTGAACTGTCTCAAAGCCTGGAGCTCTGTGGAAGCTTTCAGATGATGACTTTTGTCATCAGAAATCTCAAATCTTTCTGCCCAGTATGGACGGACCTAGTTAACAGTTGCTGATGAAAACATTCTCTGGAATCTTATTGATACCTTTAACCAAATAAATAATTACTTTAAAATGTCTGTGTTAATTTCTTATTGTTTATTCTAAAAGCGTACTTTCTTTGTTCTCTCTCTTCTACTCTCTGCCTGCCTCCACACTGAGATTACTAGTCGAAACACCTAAAACCAAGAGCCTCCCAGTAATCTGCTGTTTTCCTGTCTCGCTCCTTTGCTCTTCTCTTGGGATGAGCTCTTGCCAAAAAAAGAGTTTATGTTAACTAAATTAATTATAAATTTAAATTTATGATGATAAATTGAAAGTTGTATCATTCTGATATCTTTGCCTTCTTTGATATTTTTAAGCAGACTCAGAAACATGTCATTTGTCACTCCTGCCTGTTTTCATACCTCCCACAAAAATATAAATGTGTATGTACTTCGCTTTAGCTATTTGGGATATATCTAGGTTTGATTGGATCAGCACGGTTAAGTTTGAGGAGGACCTGCTTGATGGGGTAAGGGAAAGGCAAAATTCATGTCATCCAACTCTCTCTTAACCTCTTTCCTCATAACCTTCCAATTCCACATTCCAGGCAATAAATATTATGTCCTATCATGCACCTTTTCCCTTACAGTGACAGTGGGCGCTATCAGTCAATAGAAGTACCTGTTTCTCAAGCTGGAAATCCTAAAAATAAAATTCAAAAGAAGGGTCATCCCATAATTTCCTTTTTTGTGTGTGTGTGACTTGCAAATCATTTATCAGTCCATGTATAACAGACATTTTAATGGAGAAATTTTAGAGCTTGTGATAAATGTTTCATTGTTCTTTAGTAAATAAGAGTGAAAATCAAAGACTTTCTCTGATTAGGGTGACCAAAATGCTGTAAGTAAATCAAATAAATACATAATTCCCCATTTTGAGAGGGAAAACATCAAAGTAAAGGTCAGGGAAATTTTTAATTCCAATATAAAACCCATCCAACTGTCATATCACTCTGGTCTCTGGCAGCCTACAAGATGGTATAAGGTAATATGATCAAAAATGAACATTTTGGAAAAGTGAAAATTTTTAATCCAGTCTTGACCTGTCTACGTGAATTGTTCTTTTAAAGCACTGTGCATGTTTTTCAGTGATTTAAATTCTGTTCATTTGATATAATGTGTAAAAGTCAGTTTGATTGGGTCTTATGAATTGGAATCTGAAGTGCAATGAATGAAGGGGCACCTGGGTGGCTCAGTCGGTTGAGCATCCAACTTCAGCTCGGGTCATGATCTCACGGTCTGGGTTCGAGCCCTGCATTGGGCTCTGTGCTGACAGCTCAGAGCCTGGAGCCTGCTTGGGATTCTCTTTCTCCCTCTCTCCCTGCCCCTCCCCTGCTCATGCTTTGTGTGTATCTCTCTCTCTCTCTCTCTCTCTCTCTCTCTCTCTCAAAAATAAGTAAACATTAAAAAAAATTTTTTTTTAATAAAGTGTAATGAATTAATGTTTTGAGTAAAATAGGTATTTCCTTTTGTGAGTAGTGAAACTTTTCACTGAAATTTGTTTCTTTTCACTAGGTTTGAGCGGAAACCCTGCAGATATAGAGAGAAGAGAAGCAGTGTTTGGAAAGAATTTTATACCTCCTAAAAAGCCAAAAACCTTTCTTCAATTAGTATGGGAAGCATTACAAGATGTCACTTTAATTATATTAGAAATTGCAGCCATAGTATCATTGGGCCTTTCTTTTTATCAACCTCCAGAAGGGGATAATGCACGTAAGTAAATTGGGGAGGGGAAAAAAAAAAAAAAAAGACTTTCATGTGTGATGTTAATAAATTCAATTCATTTGTTTAATTAAAATATAATAATAGGTTGGCATTTGGGAGGGAAAACATAAGTAAAGGTCAGGGAAGTGTGCTAGATAGCATTCTAACAGTGTTTTTAATTGTTCTTTAAATATACCATCTCAGATAATTTTACAATAACCCTATGAGCTAGTGTCACTTCCACGTTTGATACAGAGGTTAAATAACCTGCCAATGTGTGTATGCCACGTGTTGGCAAAGAGCTAAGTCACATATACAGTGTGGTTTGTGCCATCATGGTTTTTAAGGTCTTTGAACATTAAATTGAAATAATTACAGTTTTTAATTTTGGGTTTTTTTTTTTAATCTTTTGGAAATCATTATGAAAGCAAAATTCTGTTCTCTTCCCTGATTCATTATTTTTCAAGTTCTTAAATTGTTATTATAGGCATGATTCGGGTAATTGCCTTGCCATTCTAGAAATGTTTATACTACAACTTATCTTGACCAAAGGAAAATTACATCATACAGTGGTAGATCTGCTTTAATTTGTAGCTACAATGGTTTTGTCTTTCTCCTGCCTATGTTCTTCATTTCTCTTTTAAAATTTCTTACTCTCTTTTTAATCAATTTATTTAAAATAGATAGTCCTTGACAGTACATTCTGTAACTGCTAAGAAACCTAGCTTGGGTTTTGGTCACTATATTTAAATAGCTATAGAGTGAACCAGTAGTATTTTATATATCAGGAGAGTGATATACCAATATTTTTCTTTGTAAAAACTTTATTCTTATGCCTTTCAAGTTATGAAGAGTTAAATAAACATTAGCTAACTCTAAAAGTTGGGTTAAGTAAAAATTTAAAGTAATGCCATTAAAGGTATGCCTGGAGCTCATGTGAGAGTTGTGTTTTTTGTTTGTTTATTTTAGAAAGTAGGTCACTGAAGAAGTCAGTTTATCGGAGAGCAGGGTTTTTCAGCAACAGCTTTGTTTACATTTTACACCAGAGCATTCTTTGTCACCCTGCACTGTACTACCCTCCAGTTGAGGCCACCAGAACTTTTCCAGACATTGCCAGGTTTCTGATAGGGGGCAAAATTGTCTATGGTTGAGAATCACTTGTCTAAATAAGAAAAAATTTAGGCAATATTCTTGTCAACATTGAGCCAAATTATTTTTTAAACTTTTGTTTTTTATTAAATAAATAATACATATTTTGCTGTAGAAATATTAGGAGGGAAAAATGACAATTCATAGGAAATAATATTCACCGAAAATCTCACTTCTTAGAGATTACTGCTATACCATTTTCATATTCTCCCAGATTTTAAAATATGTTTTGTATGTCTGTGGGTACTCACGTATGTGTATGTGTGCATATGTGGGTAGGCACGAGGGCGTGTAACTGTGTGTATATGAAATGTTTTATATGAAAAGGGAAGGTCATACCATGTTCATCAACATATAGGTAAATTCTGTAGCATTCAATTTACCCAACTATCATTATAGAATATTGGGAATTGGTATTCTAGAATTCAGCGAGTTCGCAGATTATGAAATGTTTCTTTACTTTTAACATTTTTTTCCCTAAGATTATAAGAAGACTAAAGAAAAATATTTTCAACAGGAATGGATTTTGTTACTAACAAGGACAAATCTTTTTGGAATTTGGACTGCTTCATTTGTAGGATGTAGTGACAAGCCCTTTCCCAAATTTGCTTAAGGAGAATACTGGCATTAGATCCAACTGGGAAGATACTCTAAAATTGTCAGTGTCATAAGACACTTTAAAAACAGTCAAAATCTGCTGGAAGGTGTTAGTAAAACATACAAAGATATTTTTGTTCCACGGTGAAATGTTAGTATTTGCATTTTTTTAACATTTATTAGTGTACTTCATGTGTCTTTTCATCATGTATATTTTAACACTCAGTAGTAAATCTGTAGTCATAGACTATATTATCAAAATTTCTTACTAGTACTGATGGTATAAAAATAAGCATTATAACCCATACAATGAACACATCTTTAGTTACTAGTATAATACCAAGGTTCTCAAACCTTTTGGTCTGAGGGCCCCTTTATGCTCAAAATGCTAAGGACTCCACAAACAGATTTTGATTATATGAGCTATATGTGTAGATATTTACTGTATTCTTAATTAAAATTGAGAAATTTAAAAATACTGTATCAGTGCATTTAAGTTGTATCTAAGTGTTGTATTATAATAAATATAATTGCTATAATTATTAATGAAATCTTAAGTGAAATTATGAAGAAAGAATTAGCAGTATTCTTCATTTCCTTGTATCTCTTTAAGGTCTGGCATAATTGAAGATAATCTGCTTCTGCATTTAGTGTCTTGTGTTAGCACATGTAGTGTAGTCTTTGGAAAATTCCACTACACATTCCTGAAATAGAATGCAAATTACATCTTGGTATTATTACATAGTTTTGACCTTGGGGGATCCTCCTGGGGTTCCTAGACAACACTTTTTAAGAACTGATTCTTTATACTGTTAATGTACATACTTGATGCACCATCCAAGAAATAGCCCAAATGGAGAATTTTAAGAATGGAATATTTGCCTTATGGTAGAGCACAGACTGAATTTAGATTGTGCATCTCTCTCAGGTGAATATGTTTACAGGGGAACACCTTTGGTTAAATAGATTTTTATTGTATTTATACTCCGACTTTACTGAAAGCATAGGACAGTCCTTTTGTAACTTTGATTTTTGCAATTATTTTTTCACTGCAGCTACTCTAAAAATTTGTAACGATCAGCAGCAGGAAAAGGATTTAATTTTTGGAAGTATTTTACTACCATCTGTTTCAAAATCATTCTAAATTTATCTGTAATTTAAGGTAGAACTATATATGAAATGAAATATGGCATCAACTTGTTTCATGTTCTCTTTTGAAATATTTAGTCATGTAGTTCTAAATATGCATGTGAGATTTAAAGCTGAAAATGATATAATTGTCTGATAATTCTTTTCCCCTTAATCTCTGTTGCATTGATCTTTAAACTTTTTTTGGTTGTATACCTTATCAGGAAGAAATATGAGCATATATTCAAAGGATGCATTTATGAATTATATATATGTAAAGCTATCTACATAATGTATGTATAATGTTTATACTTTATAATATGTATAGTTTTAAACATATGCAAAAATATAAACTGAAATGTTAAAAAGATGAAATGAGGTTTAAAATTTTGATGTTTAGTAACCATAAAATATCATTATTGATAGCCTGATTGAATATACATTATTTTATAATTTTGATTTAACCTTGATTTCCCTTGATTTGGGTCTGAGTTTGCTTTATTTCAGAACTTGGTTTTGTTTTTGTTTTTTTAATTTTTTTTTAACGTTTTTTTTTTTTAATTTATTTTTGAGACAGAGAGACAGAGCATGAACGAGGGAGGGGTAGAGAGAGAGGGAGACACAGAATCGGAAGCAGGCTCCAGGCTCTGAGCCATCAGCCCAGAGCCCGACGCAGGGCTCGAACTCAAGGACCGCGAGATAGTGACCTGAGCTGAAGTCGGGCGCTTACCCGACTGAGCCACCCAGGCGCCCCTAGAACTTGGTTTTGATGTTTCTCACAGCTGAAAAGAAACTTACATTTTGTAAATCCACATGTAAGAAGTGTACTCACTAATGATATCTTCACTCCCATCCACCAGTTACACAAAATTTTTTTGACATATGACTGGTAAATTCCATCTTCTTTTTAAAAAATTTTTTTTAATGTGTATTTTTGAGAGAGAGAGAGACAGAGAGACAGTACAAGTGGGGGAAGGGCAGAGAGAGAAAAGAGAGACAGACAGACAGAATCGGAAGCAGGCTCCAGGCTTTGAGTTGTCAGCACAGAGACGAACGTGGGGCTTGAACTCATGAACAGTGAGATCATAACCTGAGCCGAAGTCAGACACTTAACTGACTGAGCCACCCAGGTGCCCCCCCCGTCCATCTTCTGCTTTCAATGTATTGTTCTGACATACTATTAGAAAGTATTGCATTTTTACATTTTTAACCAATGAGATCAAACCCGTTGAAATGCTTCATTGGGAAGATAATATTTTAGCTATATTTCAAGTTGGTGAAAGTGGTCAACATGGCATTTCAACTCTCATCCTGACTTGGTCTACCTGGAGTACATCTCGAGTCTTCTGGGCAGGTGGAAGGGGAAGGAGAAACTGTCCTACCACTTCTGTTTCGAACATTGTAAACCATAAATTCATTTAACTGGTTATTGTGTACAATGGTACGTGGTCATTTCTTCGGCCTGAATGTAATTCAAAGAGAGGTTTTAATATTTGGATGGAGAAGCCAGCACTCTCGATGGATTGTCCAGCCATCTCCTTTGGAGAACATGCTCTTGTACCTATTGATGGCTGAATCCTGCTGATGGTCCTCAGGATTTTGTTTTTTTGTTTGTTTGTTTTGTTTTGTTTTAATCTCATCATTCCTTCCATTTCACCACCACCAGTTGATTTTATTCTAGTCTCTGTCTTCTCTGACCTCATCTGTCCCACATACTTCTCCTGGATTAGTCTTTATTCAGCATCTTTATACTTCACATCATTTCTTTGGCTCATGCACTGTATTCTGGAACATGCTTTAATCGTTTCTTGTATCATTCATTTACTCATTCTTTTCTTCTGAATAATTTTTTTCCTGCTTTACATGTCCTAAGAGAACCACTGATTTTTCAGACTTTTCAGCTCAACCCTCAGTAAGAAAGAACTTTAAAGAGGAGTGCAGAACCTATTCATTCATGTGAATTTGTAAATACCCAATGGAAACTTTCAAGAAAAAAATGCTTACCTTTATTATACGTATATCCTTTTTATTTTGTTCTGTTTCATTTTTCAAAATGCTAGTCATGAGCCACTGAATTGATTTTAGACTCCAAACAGATTATAACCCGCAGTCAAAACAGCACTATTTCACTGTTCTTTCTTCAACATTTTTTACCTTAAATTTTGAGTTTTGGGGGGTTCTTCCCCCCTCCATTCTTCTGTAAACTTTTTTGTGCCATAAAGCCTTTTTACTGATTTTAATCTTTCCCTGGAATGCTCTTCCTGGAATGCTTTAAAGCGATTATATGGCTAGTTCCTTTTTATCACTTGGCTCCTAGCTCAGACATCATGGACACCTCAGAGGGACCTTCTGTGTTCACACAACCAGTTACTTCCTTTCTTCATTTGATAGCATATCACTGCCGTTTGTTTTCTTTATGGCATTTACCATATCTGAAATTGATTATTTGTTTTATTACGTGAATTCTTCATACACTGTCTGCACCTACCAATCTAAGTATGGGTTTTGTGAGGAGAGGGAGCTTGGGTCTTGTTTACTGCCATGTCCTCAGATCCTAAAATTATGCCTGGCATCTAGAGTAGATGCCCAAATAGTTGGATTGAGTAGCACTTTGCTTACCTTTTCATGTTATGGAAACCAAGTTTTGTTTGTACTCCTGTAAAATTTATACAATAAGTAAGCATGATTCGTGGGTTTTCATGTATATCTTATCTAACATATGTAATAATTAATAGCATTAACCATTTTTCTCAGTCACTGGTCTACCTGCTTTCCAAATGTTCTCTCGTTTAATCCTCAGGACTCTGGGGTAGGTGGTGTTGACAGATTAAGAACTTGCCCTGAGGCCGAGGTTTAATCTTCCTCAGTGTCCTTATGCTTATCTTAGTGCCCTAGATTGCCTCCCTGTCCTGAGGGTGAGAATCTTCATATGCAGGGAACTTGAAATTGACGTAGTTTGCATTCTTGCCATTATGGAATGCTTTGAGTTCAGTAAGGTACTTAGAGTAAAATTAGCAAGGTATGTAAACATCATAATTAACTTACTGCTTGTCTTTGCCATCAATTCAGAATCTTTTTTTGATAAGCATTTTCTTTCTTTTCATATAGTTTGTGGAGAAGTTTCTGTTGGAGAGGAAGAAGGTGAAGGTGAAACTGGTTGGATTGAAGGAGCTGCAATCCTCTTATCAGTAGTGTGTGTGGTGTTAGTAACAGCTTTCAATGACTGGAGTAAGGAAAAACAGTTTAGAGGTTTGCAGAGTCGAATTGAACAAGAACAGAAGTTCACAGTCATCAGGGGTGGTCAGGTCATTCAGATACCTGTAGCTGACATTACTGTTGGAGATATTGCTCAGGTGAAATACGGTAAGTGAAAAAGAGCAACCCCTTTTAGGTTAGAGGTAAAGTCATTGTAATCTTGTTTACAGTGTGCATTACAGTTGCTTTTTGTTTTAGGTGATCTTCTTCCTGCTGATGGCATACTAATTCAAGGCAATGATCTTAAAATTGATGAAAGTTCATTGACTGGTGAATCTGATCATGTCAAGAAGTCTTTAGATAAGGATCCCTTACTTCTATCAGGTATGAATTGCTTTTGTATCTTTGAACTTTTTTCTCTTCCACTGTCAGCAAACAGTTTTGCCTAAGAGCCTACATGGTGAAGGATTCTGTATTTTATGTTAGCTTCTACCCTTATAATCCTTAGGGAGTAGTTTTGGGTTTTTTTTTCCTCTAAGTTGCCAGAGATATTATTATCTTATTGCCAGAGATATTAGAGGTCTTTGAATCCAGAGTCATATTTTACAAATGAGGAACATGAAAAAAAAAAATCAAGAGATTTTGAGAGTCAGTGATGTTAGTTAGTGATAAAACTAAAATATAAGCCTGATGACTTCTGTTGTGTTTTCCTGTATTACATTTATTCTTAAGGCCTGTTGATGTGTAAAATTAAAGAATGATTATTTTTCATTGTTTATTTTTGGTAATGTTTATTTTTGAGAGAGAAAGAGAGAGACAGAGCATGAGCCAGGGAGAAGCAGAGAAAAAAGGAGACACAGAATCTAAACAGGCTCCAGGCTCTGAGGTGTCAGCACGAAACTGACAGCCAGAACTCAGACAAGTGAACAGCGAGATCGGAGGACCTGAGCAGTCAGGCATCATGACTGAACACCCAATTAGCTTAGATGATTGTGTATTTTTAAACAAATTAGTGGAAAACATACGCACCGACATTCTAAAGATTCCGAGGTTTTAATTTTTTTTTAAGGAACCGATAAAATCCTTAAAATTTGTGTAATCCGACTCCCGCATTTAACTGTCAAGGAATAAATCTGAGATAAACTATTTATTGAAGATCACATGGCTAATCAACAGTAGGCCCAGAAGTAGCACCACATGTACTAGGGAGGATTGAATTTGCACACAAATAGGACATGTTCTGAGAATGAAGAGGATTGGTACAGGTGAGGGCACTATTTGAAATGGGGAGCTGGGTGTCAACTTGGGAGGCTCTTGTAACAGTAACTGTGATAGCCTGACCTGAGGTTAATGAGAAATGAAACGGAAGGGATGATGGGAAGATTCACAGGCGGCCTTCTAAAATGTCACGTGAGCTTGTCTCCAAAAGTATGCCAGTTCTTTTACGTTGGATTTCCAGGTTTTTATTCTTAATTTTCTAGTATTCTTTATAGAATTTACAAAATTGCCTGTAGGACAGTTGTTTACATGTGTTTATTAGATCGAATTATACCAGAATTTGGAATAAGCAGAAGGTTGCCTATTTGTTTTCTATTATCATTTTCAGATGTTAGTGGAGGGCTAACATTTTATACAGTCTAAGGAGATTTCTGCTGATTTAACTGTGTAATAACTTGGCAGCTATAATTTTTCAGTTCTTTGTGAATTTTATATTTTGATTGATTGAACATGGCTTCACTGAAACCAGAGTCACTGTGACAAGAATCAGCTAAGTGAGAATCACAACTTCCAGGTGTATATTTAAATTTAACTATTACCTTTTGAAGATTGGCAAACATGTGCCTAAAAAGCTTATTGCAGGGGCGCCTGGGTGGCGCAGTCGGTTAAGCGTCCGACTTCAGCCAGGTCACGATCTCGCGGTCCACGAGTTCGAGCCCCGCGTCGGGCTCTGGGCTGATGGCTCGGAGCCTGGAGCCTGTTTCCGATTCTGTGTCTCCCTCTCTCTCTGCCCCTCCCCCATTCATGCTCTGTCTCTCTCTGTCCCAAAAATAAATAAACGTTCAAAAAAAAAAAATTTAAAAAAGAAAAAAAAGCTTATTGCAAAACATCCTACCACTAAAAATCAGAGTAATTACATATGTATGCATTTATAAACACCATTATAAAAGGGTAGCGTTCCCAATTACAACAGACTTAACTTCTTCAGAAATATCTTGGGATTTTGTACGTACACCTTCAAAATCCTGCTCTACCAAGAACATTCTGTTTAGCCTTTTCTTTACATGGGCGTAGTTGTAATTCATTTCAAATAGATGGAAATGTTCTTGGATATGTAAGTATGGTGTATTTAGGTATAACGTATACTCATTTTACTTACTCCTTGCTATACCTCTAAGAAACTATAATTATTAACCAAATAAAAATCTGTAGTTTTTCCAAGGAAGGAAAGCAGTCAAATCCTACCTTCACCACCGTAGACTGGACCATGATATTTGGCAACCTGAGATGGTATTCTTGCCATTTTGCCATATATACTGCATGGACTTTTATGTACATCCAGCTCATTTACAAAGTGCTTATTAGCTTTTCAGGTTGATGTTCTTTAACTGAACGTTGGTCCTTTTCTATTTTAACAGCGATTGCTAGTAAGCTTTATGTCGACTCAGGTCCCTAACACACCAAGGGTACCACAAAAACTCTGTAAATTTTCCATGGTTAAGAAAAGACTGAAATAACTTTGCAGAGTCCCTTATCGTAATGTGGGTGGGAAAGTTTTTCTGCATTTATTTCCCTATTCCAAAAATGTAATAAAAAACATAAAATGCATTTATTTTTAAATTTATTCTCATGCCATCTCTCACTGCTGTTCTTGGCTTTTTAAATTTAGATTTTTAAAGGCAGTTATTCAGTTAGCCATGGGGATATGACCAGAACAAAAACTGTTTACTTTGCCTGAGTACATTAACTGCCATCATCTGATTACCTGTGGTAAGCAGGAACAGAACATAAAAAATTGAAATCTGCCAAAAGACTGAATTGTCAGAAGAAAGAAATTGTCTTTTACATGTAGAAGTTCCTCATTAAATACTATTTCACTATCTTGAACTTCATTTCTTGTTTCCCTTGCCTTTTCACTGGCAGAGAAGCTAATAATTAGTGAAATATTCAGAATAGAGATTTTTTTTAAAAAGCAAGAAAACCAGAGGCCTAAAAAATTCACATTGGAGAAGTTCCCCAGTAATTAATAGACAAATATAAGTTTATAACTTCTGGAATAAGTACATATGCTTTATGACTTTATTTAACAAATAACCTCAGTGTATTGACTTGGCCTATTAGATGGTGATAGGGGCTATGGAACCTGTCCTCCACATGGTTGTAAACTAGGAGATCAAGGAAATATGTGATAACTATAAAGAAGACTGTTGAGAATTCAGAAAAAAGAGTTGGTTTTGAAAGCTACTTAAAATTCACAAAAATATTGCAGTAGAGAGATGAGAAGTCTTTTAATTAGTAAGGAAAGATGCAGGGATGTGGATGTACAAGTTGGAGAACAGTACCCTTTGGAGAGGGTTGGAGAATATGCCCTTTGTCTCCAGACAGGACTGGATTGAATCTTTGTCTTGCCACTTAATAGTTGTGTAACTTTGGGAAAATAGGAATAATAATGCCTAACATCTTGCAAGGTTGTTGTAAGGGATTGTCAGTGTTCCCATCTTTGTTCCCAGGCTTTCTATAATGGAATTTTATGTTAGAGTAGTGGATGAAAGTTTGAAAGGTTGGTTGGTCTCAAGGTGAAGACCTTGGACTTAATCCAGTAGGCAATGCAGAATCAAAGGTTTTTGAGCCATGAGACAATTATGATAACATTCACATTTTAGGAAGATTAAAACTGATTTCAGGATGAACTGGAAAGACAGAGACTAGCTGGGAGGCTGTTGCAGTAATGTAGACTGGCTGGGATGAAAGCTGGCTTTAGGTACAGGTTTGGGGTTGGGTGTGGTAAATGGGACATTTGTTTTTCTCAGAGAAATGTCAATAATCACTGTAATAATTTTATAACTAAAAATAATGTTCATTCCTTGAACCCCCATGAATTCCAGGCAGTGTGCAAAGCACTTTACATTTATTTGTAGGCTTATTTGACTCTCATTGTTTTTATCAACTGCAGGTACTATTATCCTCATTTTATGGGTGAGGAATTGAGGTATTATAATTTGCCCAATATCACATGGCGATAAATGAGTGGTGGAGTGAGCTTTGAATTCATATAACATGGATTACAGAGTTTAAACCTTAAACATAAGAATTTAGGCTTTATTTAATATCTTATTGAGTTTATCTTGTTACATACTAGATATTAAAGACAATATGACTAAAATTTGAAATATGAAAGTGGGAGGAAAAAATCCTTAACGAATTTTCTGTCATAGGTACTCATGTAATGGAAGGCTCTGGAAGAATGGTAGTTACTGCTGTAGGTGTTAATTCTCAGACTGGAATTATCTTTACCTTACTTGGAGCTGGAGGTGAAGAGGAAGAGAAGAAAGATGAAAAGAAAAAGGAAAAGAAAAGTAAGATAAGCAATTTTCTTTGAGAATCGGTATTTGGAAATAAGGGAACTGGTTATAAGGACTGGTACAAAAATTTCACTTCTCTTAGGAAGTTCTGATATGAAAAGTTGTACAAAAAGTTAATTACGCACTGTAGTGCTTTCGAGTGGAGTGGAGTCCTCTCCATTTCTCAGTTTTTCTTCTTGACTTTACAGTCGATCAGGGGCCTTTAGTGACTATGTCAGTCCCCTTTATCATAGCCAGACAAATTCACCATCTCCTTGAACACTTTCATTGGCTTTGTTCTGTTTATTCTTTAGTTTTAGCATCTTTCTATTATCTGACCAGCAAAATGAATTAAACTCTTAACTTCCTATTTGGTTATATTTTCTGCAAATTCATTGATAGCTTTTGGCCTCAGTGAGCTTTTAATCTATTTCAGGTTTTCTACTCTTCACATTTCCCAGTCCATACTTAAGTAGTTGGATTTTGGATATAAGGTGAAGACTTTACTTTGACACCTGTTATGTCTATTTTGTTACATTTAGTCCAAAGTGTTAGATAGGAAGTTTTTAGAAATTTGATCTTGACCCATTGTATCTGCTTGCTATCCCTACAAGTGATCTATCCTCAGCAAAAATTGATAACCATAGTTTATGCACAAGGATCTCACAAGTAATAACTCCGTCGTATGTAAGGAGACAGCTCAGAATTACTTAGCTGGGGGCATGTCACTTTTTTGAAAAAGCCCTCCCCAGCCTGCTTCTAAGTATCTGCTGTACTACCCTTTTCTCCCACTCCAGATTGCTCCTCTACAGGTTTTTCTCTTCAGGTTGACAGCAGTTTACTGTGGCTTAACCACTTGGATTTGTTTAATTTTACCCAAGATAGTAAGCCCATATTTCTCTCTTTCACACAAGCGCTTTGAGTTCTTCTAAAATAAAAACCTTGCTAAAACCTTGGCTTGCTGTAACTAAAACCATGTTTTTGATATTTGGATGTTTTGTTCTTTGGGTTTTGTCTTCAGTTTTGAAATTTTTAGTTCAAACAAAAGTGTATCTGAAAAGTGGTGACTGCAAATGAACGTAACAAGACCCTCCTCGTAAGTTCTCCTGTCCCCAGTCTTCATGGCAGCCCTCGCTGTACCTCCCTAGGCTTAAGGTAGAGTAGAAGGCAGCTTAAATGTTGCCATTTACTGAATGCTATGTGCATTATCTCCTTAATACTCCCAGCCATATGACAGAAAGACATTATTCTTTTTATTGATGAGTAACCTGAGGCTTAAAGAGGTTAAGTACTTACTCCAGGTCAAAGATCTAGTAAGTGGCAGATCAGACCTGCTTATTTGGCTCAAGAGTCTGTGCTCTTAACCATACACTGTGCTGCATCCTAATTTATAGGAGTCTGAGGTCAGTGGACCCTGTTTGAAAAGGAAGGGAAGTTTGTATCCTGACTTTGTTTATAATTCACCCCACAGTGTCTTTTCCAATAAACGCTATTTTTTCTCAGATCTTTTACCTCTGTTTTTTTGTTAATCCAATCAAAAATATTCCCAGGAATGAACATCTAACTCATTGTGTATCATTTTTTATTCTTTTGTTTTCTTCATTTGTGTTACTCATTTGTTTTCTTCACAGAACAGGACATTTTTCTATCTGTGGACTTCAGCCCTTCTTCCATTCCCTTGACGGCTTTGGCCGTTACTCAAAAGCGGTTCAGGGTAATCTGTCTGTGTTTCCTTCCTAGTCTGGAATGTAGCCGTCTGGTATCTCTCCAGATTCAGAGCTCGTTGAAAGTAGCTAGATATTCTCTTACTGTCTCCTCATCTATCTTGAGCATCTGTTCCTTTCTGTTTGTTCCACGTTTCCCAGTTTCAAGATCACTCTTCTAGATAGAAAAGTTGGAAGAAAAATTAGCCGAATGGCTCTGCCTCCTCTTTGCCATTTTCAGTATTCCACTGCCTGCTCCGAACAGTAGACTCATTCCCTTCTTGATGATTTTCTTGCTGCAGACATCATCATCTTTCTCTTCTGTCCAAATTTAAGCTAACTTGGGGAACCCCTGTCACTGGTGGCCTCACTGGCCTATTCTTTACATGCACATTCCGGGTTTACTTACTTGCATCTCCTCTGTCTTGTATACCTGGTGTTTGCTGTCCTCTTCCTCACAGCTCTCTTGTGTGCCTGTTGTCTTGATGGCATTGCTCCCTCCCCCTCTACCCCTGCTGTTTTCTACTTTCTGAGAATTATATGTGTGTTTAGTTTGAAACCTCTTGTACTATTTCTGGGTTCATTAGAGCATATAAAGGAGTAAAGTCTTACAGAGAATCCAAACAAGAATAGGTGCCCCAAAATGTATTGGGGTACTTCTGGTTGAGCCTGGGGAGTGATTGACCCAGCGGGTCATTACAGGCCAAATGCTTTCTAATCTGTACCAGCACACACCGTGGTGTAACAGTGCCGTTACACAGATGTGGACTGCCTTCGCATAATTTAGCATGGCTGCCTTTATTTCTTTTGGAAAGCTTTAATTCCCATTTTGTTCCTACAGATAAGAAACAAGATGGAGCTATTGAGAATCGCAACAAAGGTGAGTTCTCAAGGATTAAAAGTACAGTTAGCTTGTTTTCATTGTATCCAAAAATGTATCTACCGTGGACTGTATTTATCCAAAAGTAGGAGACGGGTAGCTAGGGCAATCAGTTTATGTTAACTTGGGTTATTAACGCCTCTTCCTGCCAGTGCCTTAGTCATGCTGCCTTTACAATGGTAATAAGATTTTAACTGTGATTTGTGGTAGTAAACTTAGAAAAATCCAGATGTGAGGTAACTCTCAGCTTAAGCACGTCAAGTATTTTAGCATTGGTTACTATATTATTGCCAGGAAAACTGTAAGAAACAAAGTATACAACTTAAATGGTTTTTTGCATTTATTTAGATTTGTAAACACACGTACATTTCTCTATCTGTGTGGTTATACATAACATTCTCCATTATGGTCACACGTGGGCAGGTTTTATAGTGTTTGGGATAAGTCTTATCAAACACAACACAGGGGAAGAGAAATGGTTTGGTGTTTAGTTCTCGGTTTAAGGACTATGTTTCTTCTTATGCCTCATCCCTGTTACCGGCACAACATTCTCAAGTGTGGTATGAAGATTCGCAACCTAGTGTCACTATTGTCTTATTTTCTCTGGCATACATTTGTCTGTATGCCAGAGAAAGTAAGACATACAACCCTGCATACCCAAAGCTGAATGTTTAAATCTTTTCTAGTTCCTATATGAAACTGATTTGTTTCAAAATTGTTTCAAAATATTAGTAGTTATGGGTGCCTTTAAAATGTAGTGAGGTTATATTTGCTCTTAAATGTAGCAAAAGCCCAGGATGGTGCAGCCATGGAAATGCAGCCTTTGAAGAGTGAAGAAGGTGGAGATGGTGATGAAAAAGACAAAAAGAAAGCAAATTTGCCAAAAAAGGAAAAATCTGTCTTACAAGGGAAGCTTACAAAGCTGGCTGTTCAGATTGGCAAAGCAGGTATGATAAACAAGAAAATATGGTGTTTTGCTTTTAAAATATACTGGCTTTATGCTTGTAAATCGTCTTTTGACCCACTTAAGGCTACAAATCATTGCTTTTGTGAGTGGAAGGGGAGCTAAAAAGTATTTTCACTTTTATCCGCAATATACCAGGTCTTTTGAGTTCTTGCAGATCCTCACATTATCATGGCAGCTTGGGGGGCTCTTACCCCATCTCACGTGGAAGGAGGTGTCCTCTGTCAACCAGCTAATAAGTGGTCGGGTTAGGATTAGTACCCAAGTCTGCCCAGTTTATTCAGAAGCCCATGCTCTCATCTCTGAATTTCTCAGGATTTCTGGAAGCAATAGAGAGAGGGCTGTTAAGATACTCAGTACAGGTACCCAGCTACATTTTAATGAAAAGAAATTTCACCACCCATTTTCTCATCTTTTTACTGACTATGAAAAAAAATTAGGTATATATTTTTCTAAAACTTACAGCTTAGTTAAATTGAATGGATTAGTTGGAGCACCATCCTGCTGAAGCTGAAATTTACTAAATTACCATCTTCACTAGAAAACACCTGTTACGATTTTATTTTTTTTAATGTTTATTTTTGAGAGGAAGAGAGAGACAGAGTGTGAGCAGGGGAAGGTACAGAGAGAGAGGGAGACACAGATTCCAAAGCAGGCTCCAGGCTGTGAGCTGTCAGCACAGAGCCCGACGTGGGGCCCGAACCCACAAGCTGTGAGATCATGACCTGAGCTGAAGTTGGATGTGTAACTGACTGAGCCACCCAGGCACCCCTAGAAAACACCTGTTACACTCTTTAGGGGGAGAAAAAGCGGAAGCAGAGCTTTTAGCTAAAAACAGAGCATGCCCTCCAACAGTATCATCTGTATGAAAGATCACATGTGGATAAATCAGCATATATTAAAATCACTTAAATTCTATAATTCTGCTTCTTAGGAGTATGTCGGAAAAAGTGAGGTTTTTGCTTCTGTTCTCAATAAGTTTGTTTTCCAATAGCAAATATTTGCTTTCTGTAACATATAGCCGTATGGTAATACTGACTCCATGTTGGGGAAAAGGGTGGATTTTAGATGGTGGTGATATAGGTAGCAGACACTGGGTTGGATTATCAGATGCAGATATGTGGATTTGTCTTATCTTTTAATATTCATTTGTAAAAGGCTAAATAGTCCACAAAATAGGGAAATGGTTTGTAAAACATGATTAACTCTTGGTTTTTTAACTTAATGAAGCACTAAGGATAGATGAAAAAAATAATTCAGAGAATGTATTTTTTTAATAAAAAATAGGGTTGAATGTTTAATTCCAAGTCTCCCCATTGATCAGACTTTTACCAGCTTCTCTTTCAGCATTAAGCAGTTGGCAACATGTAAACTGCCCGCTTATTCTAAGCTTTTGGTGTTTCCTTGTCATTGCCTGTTATTTTGTCTTAGCTTTAGTAGAAGGCTGAAGATACAATTAAGTCTAGGAAAGAATCATAAATGCTTTTCTACCAGTTCTCCCGGGGACAGGGCTAGACTTGGAAGCAGAAATTAAATCTGACAATGCTGAATGATGAGTTAGGTATAAGAAAAAACAAAACAAAAAGGTAACAGTTTATCAAAGAACTTAAAGTAAGTATTATCTAACCCATGGTAATTCTTCCAGTGGCTAATATGTAATTGGCAATGGGTAGTGTCTGGACTACTGAAATAATCACAACTTTTCTTTTCTTTTCTTTTCTTTTCTTTTCTTTTCTTTTCTTTTTTTTTTTTTTTTTATATACTGAAAGGTTTGTTGATGTCTGCCATCACAGTTATCATTCTAGTGTTATATTTTGTAATTGATACGTTCTGGGTTCAGAAGAGACCATGGCTTGCCGAGTGCACGCCAATTTATATACAATATTTTGTGAAGTTCTTCATTATTGGAGTTACAGTTTTAGTGGTCGCCGTGCCAGAAGGCCTTCCACTTGCAGTCACCATCTCCCTGGCTTATTCTGTCAAGGTAAGCAGAAAAGAGCTAAGTACACTTACTAGGTTTAAAGCCTTAGTTGGTGGAGAAAATTCACATCTGGTTACTCTTTTTCCTGGTTCTGAAAGTAGGAGCTTTCCATAAATTTAGTTTCCTTTAGAAATGTTGTCACAGGTTTCCTCCTCCCCTCGCGCCCCTCCCCCACCCCCCTCTCCCTTTCCCACCCCCCACTCCCCAAGGTGAAGGTCTCTGTTCATCAAGACTTCTGTATTTCCTCCCAGGGCAGCCTGGACACGACACCCAGTGCAACCCTGCTAGGCAAAGTTCTAGTTTAATTTTCACTGTATGATAGTTATGTTGCAAGTCACATTGCCTCCTTTTTCCCATCTGTAAAATTCAAGTGTTTGTCATTCACCTGTGGGACAAGAGCCAAGAGGCTTCTCTCCAAGTCCAAGCTTCTAAGGCCTCCTTGTTTCCACTCTTCTGCCCTCATCACAGCACAGCCGAGCTTCCACACAGTAGGCAGACTCCTTTTAAAATATAATCCACCCATGTTATTTCTTTGCGTAAAACTCCACTGGCTTCTCGTCACACTTAGAAAAATCCAAGCTCACCGTGGCCTGCAGGCCCCAGGCAGTGTGGCCCTGCTGACCCCTCGGTGCTCATCTTGTACCTCTGTCCCTCTGGTCCAGCGTCACCAGCCCCCCTGTAGTTTGTCACATACTTCAGGGCCCAGTCGTTCTTCCCATGGATCATCTGCTCTTACTTTATTCAGGTGTCTCCTGGTGTCACCTCTGGAAGCTCGATTCTTGTTTTCCAGGTAGAATTCTAAACCTGAGCTTTGACACCTTTGCCAACTACTGTTTACTAAAGTCATCATCTGGTTGACAATTATTAATTTATTTTTATTAGTTTTATATCTTAAATGGAAATGGTGGATTGGATTTTTAGAAAGGTTTAGTTTGGATAATTTTGATCTTTCAAAATGACTTTGCAGGTAAAATTATACTTAATGGAAGAATGCTTCTGTTGTCAATTTTCTGATGTTAATTAGCTCTTCTCCTTAAGCAGTAGTGATGGTGATGAGCAACAAAAGAAACAGTTTCAGCTTTAGCGCTCTGATCTTCAGTATTCCAGCATGCTTTGCAATAAGCCTATTAGGATAAGAATATTTTGCTTACGGTTTGGGTTTATTTTCTTTTCAGCCATTTAACATCTTCCGTTTCAAAAATAAAATAGTAAACGTTTTCAGGGTGATGAAGTGTAATCATCTATTTGTCCTGTTTTTTGATATTTTGAAATAATTGGGGTAAATAAGTTTTAGATGATCATTTTATCAGTACTGTCAGTTCATTTTGATAGTCACCAATAACATTAATTTTTCAGTTGATCAAAAGATGTAGGCAGAATTTACATTTCTTTAATAGAAAATGAGTAAGAGCGTTGTAACTACTGTTCTTTAGGCTTTTATTAACGGTTTAGCCCAAATGTTACCAATTACTGCTCTTTTTCACAGAGCTGTGTCGTATTTATGGATGCTTTGTTAGTACTTTGCAAAGTGAAACAACTTTTTTTCACTGTAGAACTTAGTTTTTTTAGTATTAATATTTGCATCAATATTAATGCAAATCGTAAGTAATTTCAGAGGGTACACCTTTTTCTTCCCCATTTTTATTTCTTCCAGGAACCAGTTCTTGCAGTATCTAGCATGTTAGCAGTCACAGAACATACTTGGTAAAACAGCTCTGTGTGGTTTTTAACCCATTCTTCATTTTTGAGAATGAAATATCAAGCATTTTAATTCGAATGCCTTTTGGGGCTACTGTGAAAACTCTTGGTTGTTTAGAAAGTGTGTGTTTTTGTTCGTGTAAATTAGAGGAGGAGATTATCCTAAGATGAGAATACCAGGTGTCTAGTATATGGAAAGGATAAAAAAGACCCACTCTGGTTTTGATCTGTTATGTCAATCTATCAGAGTCAAAAGAAGGAAAAAAAAAATGAGACAACTGCGTGCCCACAGGCTCTGTATTTTAACTGATAAAGCTATTTTTTCCTTGGTGATTTGTTTTCCACTTTGTAAGGAGACTTAATCCTTAAATGTAATATATTTTTTACAAGGTTGTAAGTACCTTTGTACTTGGGAATACAAATTGTCAATGCCCTTATAATGTGAAGACACTTACAGAGGCTGTTGGGGGCATATAGTCAACATGATTTGCATATGAGTACAGGTATCTGTATTCATTTACCAGATTATGTTATATAGTGGTAAAAAAAAAAAAAAAAGATTGAAACCACAGAAAACTGGTATGCCCTTTAGCTTTATTTGAATAGGTCAAACATACTAAAATTCTTCCAGTTGGTGCTTTATACTGTGTATTTGTATGTAGCTGGGAGTTTTTGTTCTTATTTTAAAGCATTTTACAATTTTGTGTAATGAGGTGATTAGTTTTGTATGTAGCTTAACTAGGTTTTTGTTTTTGTTCTTTTTTGTCACCATAGAAAATGATGAAAGACAATAACTTAGTAAGGCATCTGGATGCTTGTGAAACCATGGGAAACGCTACAGCTATTTGTTCAGATAAAACAGGGACATTGACAATGAACAGGATGACAGTTGTTCAAGCTTACATAAATGAAAAACATTATAAAAAGATTCCTGAACCAGAAGCTATTCCACCAAATATTTTGTCCTATCTTGTAACAGGGATTTCTGTGAATTGTGCTTATACATCAAAAATATTGGTAAGGTTTCTTTAATAATTAATTTATATATGAAAATTAATGTTTAAATGTGTAATGATTAGACTATATGTAGCTCTTCAGACCTACCCTTATTATATATAAATTGAAGAACTGAATTATGTTATGTTTTTAAAAGTCATGTGTTCAGTTAATATAAGTTTCTTTGATACAATTTGTATTATGAGTAAGATCTGTTGATGGACTTCTATCTTCTATTTACTTGTATTTTCCGCCTATGTTTTGAATGTCCCATGTTTAGAAACTGTCAAGACTTATAACCAGAGCAAGTTATTAATTTTAAATTCTTACTAAGCCTATTTTGTGAAAGTCCAGATTATCTTACTGTAGAATTTTCTAGAGAAAATTTTGAAGCCAGATTTCAACTGAGTATGTTTTTATATATGCTTGCCATATGCTCTCTTTGCTTTCTCAGTAGATCCTACCCCTGAGGTCATCCTTAGACCTTTTGAAACTAACTCAGTAAAGTAATTCTAGACTTTGTGCTGCCTTAAAATAAAATATTTTTTAACTTTGCAAGTTAAAAGTCTTATTTACAACATGAAGTATGAAATTGCTTGAGTTGGTATGTGTTCTATTGATTTATGGAGGAAGACCATGAACAAAATTGATATTGCAAGTTGTCTAGTGAAGATATGCATGAATTAGATTATTGGACTGAAAAGTTATGGGATCTTGGTTCTAGATCTAGCTTTGCCTTTTACTAGCTAAAAGTCCGAGCTTCACTTTCTTCAATTGTTAAGTAAAGACTATCACATCTGCCCTTATTAGTGCAGTGGCAATTATATAAGGTGGTATTTGGGAAGATACTATGAAGAAGTAAAGCTTTTATGTATGTTTAAGGCAACAGTGCTCTATTTTAATGCATTACTTTTATTTAAAGTTAAAAAACTTGTAAAGTAGACCGAATTTTGAGTTAATGTAGATGTTCAATGAAAACAGGAAGAGAAAAGGAAAGGAATTAAAATTTATGAAATCCCACTATGTGTCAAGAACCAACTGTAAGCTTTACATGCCTTATCTCACTTAATTCTTGGGTCATAAGTGCACCTGTTTTCCAGATGCTGAAGCCAAGGACCACAGCAGTGGGGTAACTTGCCAAAAATTCACATAGCTAGTAACTGGCAGGGCTGAGATTGGAATTCATGTCATTCTTGCCCCAGAGATCCTTTCTACTGTACCTTTTTGTGTCCCTCTTTGAAATGCTGCTATTAGAAGTTTCCTATATAATTTTGTTTTAGAATGTCGCATTCTATTTTACATTATAAATTAAACTGTCATGGAGAAACAAGATGATACTAGCTTCTAAACCTTTTTCTCTTATAGCCACCAGAGAAAGAGGGTGGATTACCTCGTCATGTTGGTAATAAAACTGAATGTGCCTTGTTGGGACTTCTTTTGGATTTAAAACGAGATTATCAGGATGTTAGAAATGAAATCCCAGAAGAAGCACTGTACAAAGTCTACACCTTCAATTCTGTTAGGAAGTCCATGAGTACTGTCCTGAAAAATTCAGATGGAAGTTATCGAATATTCAGCAAGGGTGCATCTGAGATAATTCTGAAAAAGTAAGAGTAAAATGCTTAGATGAATAAATTGCTCACTATAGTTGCTTTATGGAATACCTACTATGTTGCTATTGTTGCTATTTCATTTTTTTGTGAACATCAGGCATTTGATAGGACCTCAGAGCTTTCCAGTATATTTTAACGGTATCTAGATACTTGCCCATGGTGTTCTGCCATTTTCATACTTCAGCTTCTTTTATTTCATAGTATTTTTCTATAGGGAAACTCTGCCCATTACTTTCAATCTGGTGGACTTTATAAAGTAAACCTTGCTCTTTGTTTTTAGACATGTTGATTCCGTGGTTATAGAGGATCATGAAAAATAAAAGCCTCCTGGGAAGAAAAACTCAAGTTTACATCTTCAACGCAGCATTGTAGATAGTGAACTCGAAAAATGTGATGGATGAATTATAGATTAGTTTTTAGAACAGCAAAGCATTAAAACTAGTAGATCTTGAGAATTCTCCAATCAGGTTTCATATTTATGCTGCTGCATTGTCATATTTAAATATCTCCTGTCATTTTGAGTCATTATCTTTCTTTTTTATTGTCCTTTTACAGAGCAGTAGTTTCAGTTTTGACATTACACATTTATGTATAATTTCTCTGGTCTTTATATGTTATTACAGGTGTTGAAATTATTTTGGTTTCCTTTATTCCAGAGAGAAGTAGAGAATTTAAAACCAATTTATTTTTTTTTTTTTAATTTTTTTTTCAACGTTTATTTATTTTTTCGGACAGAGAGAGACAGAGCATGAACGGGGGAGGGGCAGAGAGAGAGGGAGACACAGAATCGGAAACAGGCTCCAGGCTCTGAGCCATCAGCCCAGAGCCTGACGCGGGCCTCGAACTCCCGGACCGCGAGATCGTGACCTGGCTGAAGTCGGACGCTTAACCGACTGCGCCACCCAGGCGCACCTAAAACCAATTTAAAAGCAGCTTTGGAAAATTAAAGCTTATTTGAAATTATAACATTTAAAAAATTTTTACTTTTAATTTGCTTATGTGTAGATTATAATCCAGCATTAACCTTAATGAATACTTGACAGATTGTACTCTAACAAGTTTAAGAGACAGGTCTGTAAATAAATCACTGAAAAGGCAGCATATGACAGATAGGTACAGTTTTAGGATGAGTTCATACTCTTAAGAAGGATGTGACACTTCGTTATTTTTTAAAGAAATCTCAGAAGTAGGATTAACTTTAAGAGTCTTTTATTCCAAACATGTGGCACTTTAGAAAGGTTTTGGCATAAAGTAAGAGCACGAAGGGAAAGGAAGCCACATCAAAGGGAAGGAGGTGGGAATATGCTGGCCATATTGGGGAGGTATCTAGGTGCACAGTTCAGCTGGGTAATAATGGGTTTTGTGACACACACACCACGTAGAGCTTTCTTCCCTTAACTGTACACTTGGTTATCTGATTTCAGTATGAAAGTTTAGAAATCTGTCTCATCCATGGCTTGCTGAATACCAGATAGGTGGTACAGGGAGGTTTTTGAATCAAAACCGATCAGGCTTTTTGACCACCAACTCTGCAACGGTGAAATAAAATGATGCATGTGAACCATCTAGCTAGGAGTCTGATAGATAATAAGTATACAGTAACTAGTCCTACAGTGATATTTACATTTTGTCATGGGGCTCTTACACCTTAGGCTGAGCAGTAAAAAGGAAGTGGGCCAGCTGATGTAACTGGAGTATGTTTTCCATCATCAGGGAGTAAGGTGGGTTGGGGGGGAAAGAAAGGATGGACTGGAGACATATTAATTAAAAAGCTATTACAATAGCTGTAGCTCAAAGTAAGAGCCTGAAGAAGGCAGTAGCAGGGGGAACAGAAAGAAGAGGCACCATTCAGGAGGTACCATTCAGGAGACTGTTACAAGGACAAACAGAGGAGACTCAGGAGATGATCATATATAAGTGGCGAGGAAAAAGGAAGTGTTCAGGTGAGATTTAAGATTTACATTGAAATTACTGGGCTGACGTTGATGTTAATATTGGAAAGGCAGCGTTTAGACTTGCATGCAGTAGATTTAGGTGTTGGTACAGCATCTGAATGGAGTTCCCGAGCAGTGATGGAGAGCTTTGGAAAACCATCAAAACTGAAGATGTGGATTTGACAGTCACCTGCCTAGAACAGGAGGAGGTCGCATCACCAAGGGAGAGGAGCAGAGAAAGGAGTCATGAAAAATAAACTTTAAATAGGGAAGTACATAGTGTGACCTTTATTTACTACATAATTAAAAGTTTGTAGTTAGTGTCACTGAAATTGAAACTATTTTGGCATTATCTCTCTCCTTCCAATAGAATGCTTATTTTAACAACAAGTTATTTTTTTTCTTTCATGGTTAAAACAATATAGGTGATGAAACAACATCTCAGGTAAGGGGTTGATTGAACTTGGCTTTTTACTTTAAAAGAAGAATATTTGTGAATTTTTTTGTTAAAGTTAATGCCTCATTCTGTACCAGAATGGACAGGTGTATCGTGTATTCTCTTCTGCCACTAGGGGTTCTTTGCAAAAATGTAAAAGCCTTGCGTTTCCAAAAGAGAAGGTTTAGAGAATATCTAGAGTAACTGATAAAGTGGAGAACTATCAAATGAGAACCATAAAAGTTTAGAACTGTTTTTGTAAAGGGGAGGGTGAAAAGTGAATGTAATTTAAGTCTGTAGAAATGCAGCATACATAATTTCTCTAAATTCCAGTTGTCAGATCCCATGATTTCTAGCCCTTCCCATTCACTTACGTGGCATTAACCATTATTTTTGTTAATTATTGATGTTTGGATTCAACATTTCCTTTTAGGTGTTTCAAAATCTTGAGTGCTAATGGTGAGGCAAAAGTGTTCAGACCAAGGGACCGTGATGATATTGTAAAAACAGTGATTGAACCGATGGCTTCAGAAGGCTTGAGAACCATATGTCTTGCGTTCAGAGATTTCCCAGCAGGAGAACCAGAACCCGAGTGGGATAATGAAAATGATATTGTCACCGGCCTTACGTGCATTGCTGTTGTGGGGATTGAAGACCCTGTGAGACCCGAGGTGGTGAACCGTTCCGTGCTCTGCATGTGCAGAATCTCTCAACCCCAGGGCATCTAGGCACTGACTACAGCCACTTTTCTAGTAACCTTCTTGGTGTTTGTGATTTAATTTTTTTTTCTGTGTCAGTCCAAAAGGTGAAGAAAATATAGTGCTTGTGATGCATATGCTACCTATGTATAGTTTTTTTCTTTTTAAGTTTATTTATTTTGAGTGAGAGAGAGAGAGAGAGAGAGATGGCAAGGATGGGCAGAGAGAAAAAGGGAGAGAAAGGATCCCAAGCAGAGGATCCCTCTGCTGACAGCACAGTGCCCGATGCGGGGCTTGACCTTACACACCACGAGATCATGACCTGAGCTGAAATCAAGAGTCAGATGCTTAACCGACTGAGCCACCCAGGCGCCACCCCCCACTCCCATGTACAGTTTTTAATTAGACCGCTTCCCTTGAGGATCTTACGTACTGATAGCACCATAACCTAACACAGTACCTTGAACTCAGTAGGTTTTTCCAATCATATTTATGTTGAATAATAGATGCATTAAATTATGTGCTTTCATAGTTTGTAGACCACCACTGCTCAACAGAACTTTCTTGTGATGATAGAAGTTTTCTAGATGTTGTTCAACACAGTAGCCACTCACCACATGGGACTTACGAGTTTTTGAAGTATGGCTAGTACAACGGAAAAACAGAATTTTTAAGCTTTATTTAATTTGAATGGAAACATCTTGTTACCATACTGGACAGCATGCATCTCTAGACTTTGTTTCTCTTCTTTTTATTTTAAAGTTTATTGAGCAACTGCTGTGTGCCAGTCACTATGCTAGGGTACTATAGACATAAAGATTTTTGAGATTTGTTTCCCGGCCTCAAAGAAGTCACTCTTGGGTGGGAATGAGCAAACACGTAAACAACATGAGCCCCAACTTTGTCTAAAGCAATAGCATCTTTTTATTGAATTCTTACTGTGTGCCAGATACTGTGCCACCTGCTTTACATGTATTATTTCATGTTCACCTCTATTAATTATTACTCTAATTTGACAGATGAAAAAAAGTCAAGGTGTGTAGAGGTTAGCTCTAGACCATAGAACTAATATGTTCAAATTTTGGCTTTGTCTAAAACACATGTTCTTAAAAGACCACTATGCCATATATATATATTCTTTAATATTGAAAATGTTTCTTTTTTTAAGGTTTATTTATTTTGAGAAGGGTGGGGGGCGGAGAGAGAGAGAGAGAGAGAGAGTGAAAACATGAGCAGGGGAAGGGCAGAGAACGAGGGGGAGAGAGAGAATCCCACGCAGGCTCCTCACTGTCAGCAGCACCCAATGTGTAGAACCAAGTACTTCTTTAGGAACTAGAAATACTGCAGTAAACAAAATTGTCATGAAGTTTATATTCTAGAGAAGTAAGGAGGCCAGACAGACAAAATAATAGGTACTTAGTATGCCAAGAGAAAATACATACTATGAGGAATAAGGCTTGGTCCCCACCCTCAAAGGCTTTATATTCTGACTGGCATGTGGGGGTAGTTGGGAGGGTGATATCAGATAAGACAATTACAAGTGTGAAAAGAGCTACAAGGGATAGGCACAGGGTGATGAAATAGGTAACTGAGAGAGACCACGTTAAGAATGTCTGAAGATAAGACATTTGTATTGAGATCTGATGGCTGAAAGTGAGCCCGCCATTTTAATAGTTGTGAGAAGAATATTCCAGGCAAACGGAACCAAAAATACAGAGAGGCCTGATGGTGAGAAAGTCTTAGCCATTTCAAAGATAGAAAGGAGGCCAGTATGGCCAGAAGTATGGACAAGAAGGGGCAGGTAGGATTATCTTTGGTCTTATAAAGACAATAAGGGTTCTGAATTGTATTCTGAAACTCAGTGGGAAGTAATTCAGGCTGGGAAGTGACATGATTTGTGTTGTTAAGAGACTATCTTGGGTACTATGTAAGAAACAGAGGAGGTGAAGCAGGGAAGCCGGAAGATTATTGTAGTGATCGCAGGCAAGAGATGGTCATGCTTAGCACTTCACATAGTGTGGCAGGGCAGATGAAAAGAAAAGGATGATTTCAAAGTAAATGGAGGTAGAACCAATAGGAATGAATCTGTTGGGTTGGGATATACTGTTTTTGACATTGTTGAGGTGTCTGAAACATCCAAATGTATGTCATGTGGGCATTTGGACCTAGTAGCCTGAAAGTGGCCTAGGCTGGGATATCCACATGAGGGGTTCCCAGAGATCTCCTGGGGAAAGTATAGCTCTACAATTAGATGCCCTATAGAGGACAGTCTGCTTGCATAACTGGGTGATGGTACTACCGGTGGAATAAGAGAATCAGAAACAGCCTATATAGAGATCAAGGTAAATTCCATTTGGGGTTTTAGGGTTTCAAATGCTTATGAAATATACAGGTGGGTAATGTTTCCCAACCTTTGGTCAAAGGGAAACCAAAGTTTTATACATGGATTTATGCCTTAAATCTTACCTAAATGTAGTATTAAATCAGGTGTCTACAACTTTTGTCCTTTGGAAAATATATGGCTTTTATCATGCTCTTGGCATTGAGGTTGATGGGAGAGTTTCATCTTTTTTTAAACATGTAAGTGGCACTTAATTTTTTTAGTATCACCAAATGAGATGGGTACTTTCAGACTAAAGTGAGACAACGTGATATACAACAGCTTTCTCTTGGTGGGTATTCTGGACTGTGCATTTCTGATATAGAGAATTTTGATAAATTAGGTATCTAGAATAAATCCAGCTTTATTGCATTTGCATAGGTTCTTGAACGTGGTAATTGGCTTCTCTTCAGTTTCCTATCTCTAAAAGTGGAGGTAGTTTGTCAGCTTTGAGTGGAAGTATTTGGTGTGGTTAGTGGGCCATCAATAAATGTTAGTTTGTCCTTGTTAAATATTATTTGCCACATCTTTTTAACCTGAGAGCAGCTTCTTCCTCTTATTCGTTGTCTCCCTATTTCAAATGATCTTGGGATAGCACCCAATCAGTGAGTTCTTGGGTAGACAATCTTGAGTTATTTTTTTATCTCCAATAAGATATCCAAATATATATTACATTTATACAGCAAACCAATGTTTTCAAAATCAAATTTTGATTTCTTTTTTAAATAGAGGTATGCACTATACAAAGACACAATTTTGTGTAGATAGGCCATGAAAGCTGCTTCCAGAGACATTACATTTAAACTGTATTTATAAAAGAAATCATAAACTGTCAGCCTGCAGAGCAAATTTAGCCTTCAGTCAAATTTTCCTTGGACCGTGTGTGTGTGTGTGTGTGTGTGTGTGTGTGTGTGTGTGTTTAAAGAGTTATGTATTGAGAGAGCATACACAAATCGAGGTTTCTGTTTTCTCTTGAAGTTGTAGGTTCTATCAATATTAGATGCTTACTCCACCATAGTGAAAACAGGCTGGAGCGGAATCTCTCTCTCATGAGGCATTAGTTTGGGGTTTGTAACTGTGAGAGTGTTTTCCTCATTTATGTTACCCACATGGCTCTGTAGGCATTTGCATTTGCATCTGCATCCTCTGCTCTAGAGGGATCAGTATGGATTTCCTGTTAGAGAAGAGTAGGGAAGGATTTTGTAGGCAAAAGGAATTGCTAGAAGCAGAGACACAGAAACAACATATAGATTATTCATCCATCAAGTTGTGTAGTAGAGGAGAATTGTAGATAAACTTGAAAACTATTCTGAGGCTCAAGTGTGATACTTTATTATACTAAGAACTTTGTGGCTTATAGTATAATAGTAGAGGAATCGTCACATAATCTTAAGAAAATCTATTAGAAGAATAATTCTGTCAAGTCTATCAGATGTTTTACAGGAGGAACAAACGTAGACAAGGATACCAGGTAGAGGGAACAAGGTGCAGGGAAGGTTTGAGGTAGAATCCACAAGATTCCCTGTTCTTTAAAGATGGATAGGATAAAGGAGATGGAAGATGTCATGATGATGGCCCTTAGGTTTCTGTTAGATACATAGGTTTAAGAAACATCGTCCCCTTTTTGGACACCCAAATTCCAATGTCCACTTCTCTGATGGAATTATGAACCCAGCACTCACAATGAGGTGGGAGAAAAATGTAAATTTGAAAGTTATTAGCACATACATGACAGTTGAAGTTACAAGAGTAGGTAAAGTCATCCTTAGAAGATAAGGAGTGGGGGGAGCGGGGGGCGGGAAGTGAGCCACCCATACTATACTCTCAAGAATACATCAGCATTTTACTGTGGTGTGGTCTGGGCAGTAAACCCAGAAAGGTAGAAAGCCAACCAGAAAAGAACTGCATAATGGTTGGGGAGGGGGAGCATTTTAAGAAGGCTTTGGTAAATAAATAATGCAAACCTAAAATAGAATCACAACTGAAAAATGAAGCCTGAACTAGGACTGTGGCAGTAGAAGAGGAAAGAAGAGATTATTGGGAACAAGTGAAGAAATACTGAATATATTGAGATGAAATCTAAATTTTCATTTTCTGTGGGACGATGCAGTAATGCATTATGCAGTGGGTTCCCCCCCCCCCGGAAATATTAATTTTCTTTCATAATATGATTTTTTTTCTGTGTAAACCAGGTACCAGAAGCAATAAGGAAGTGTCAGAGGGCTGGAATTACTGTGCGGATGGTCACTGGTGATAATATTAATACCGCTCGGGCTATTGCTACCAAATGTGGTATTTTACATCCTGGGGAAGATTTTCTATGCTTAGAAGGTAAAGATTTCAACAGAAGAATACGAAATGAAAAAGGAGAGGTAAGGATTGTTTTTTGTTTTTTGGTTTTTTTTAATGTTGATAAATTTTTCATACATTAGGAATTTCATTCAACAAATAACATACTGAATATGCACCATGTGTTAGGTATCACCATGAATAAATGCAGCCTGCACCTGAAGCACAAAAACACTAAAATTTTAGGATTTCATGATCTGGAGATTTGTCCTAAAGGGACAAAAAAGAGCACTTCTTTTTTTCAGTCTAGGCCAATTTCAGAAGTGTATGTGTAAGTGAATGTGGGAGAAGGAATTTGAAAAAGTTGATAACGGAGTATATTTTAGGGCACCTCAAATTCTTCTGAGCTTTTTATACTGTGCTAAGGAGTTTTCATTTGCATAGACAGTAGGAAGATTTTCTAATTTTGATCATATACAGTAGCGGTTCTCAACCTTGAGTATGCATCACAGTGACCTGGAGAGTTTTTTAAAAACCTTGACTGCTAGGCCCCAACCCAGAGTTGTTATTTGATAAGATGATAGGCTTGGTGCCTTGTTCAAAAATTTGCATTTCTGACAAGTTCCCCGGAGTTGCTGATGGTTCTGGTCTGTTAACCATACTTTTGAGAACTGCTGATACATATGCCAGATTGCTAATTGGGGAATTATAAAACTAGATTTGGGTGCATTTTAACTGTCATAAACATTTATAGATTGAGCAAGAGAGGATAGACAAGATTTGGCCAAAGCTTCGAGTACTTGCAAGATCATCTCCTACTGACAAACATACACTGGTTAAAGGTGAGTAGGTTTTACAGTTATTTCACAATTTCTTAATAACAGAAATGTGTTCTCCTTCTGAAAATAGTAATAGATACTGAATAATAGATTTATTGACTCTAGGATGTTGTCTTTTCCAACAAAGTCTAAATACATTTCCTTTTTATTTTTTTATTTCTTTTAATGTTTGTTTATTTTTGAGAGAGAGAAATAGAGCATGATTGAGGGAGGAACAGAGAGAGAGGGAGACACAATCCAAAGCAGACTCCAGGCTCTGAACTGTCAGCACATAGCCTGATGTGAGGCTTGAACTCACGAACCAGGAGATCATGACCTGAGCCGAAGTTAGACACTTAACCCACTGAGCCACCAGGCACCCTATGAATATATTTCCTATTCACACCTTTGGTTAATTGTGTTTATCTTCAGTAAAACAGGATATTGCTCCTAATGTAACCTTAGTTTCTGGACTTGGTCCTTGCCCAGCGTCTCAGCAGTTTTCATTTCTCTATGTGTGTTTGTTTCTTTTTAACTTCAGGTCTGTAAAACTGACTGGTCAGGGTACTCTGCAGAATCATCTTATTAATTAAAGGGGATGTTTTTACAGTAAAAATATTACTTTTGTTTCAGGTATAATTGACAGCACTGTCTCAGAACAACGCCAGGTTGTAGCTGTAACTGGTGATGGTACAAATGATGGCCCAGCACTAAAGAAAGCCGATGTTGGATTTGCAATGGTAGGAACTTACCTGTTTAAGTATTCAGATATAATTTACTGGCTGAGTTGTTTGTTACTAAATTGCTATTGATACTAAACTCTGTACCTCAAGATTTGAGTCAAAGTATGTCTCTAAATTGATATATAAGTCTGAGTAGTTTGTAACTGCATTTATTTGATGCAGTGAAATCTGGCTAGAAGGTGACTCTTGAACACTTATAACATCATGCATTTACCTTATACTCTGCAAAATGTATATATATATCTGTCATCTGATCTGAACCTTTCAGCAATCCTCTTGAGAGACAGGCTTTGAACAGATGAGAGAGGGAGTGTGCGTGCGTGTGTGTGTGTGTGTGTGTGTGTCTAAGTTAAAAATATGATTTGAGAATCTTCCACTCAACTGAAAATGTCTGTTAAAGAGTCACTGAATCATCATTTCATATATAATAGCTATAATCCTCTTTCAATTGGAAAAAATGTACTTCCCTCCCCCACAAGTCTTGGATTTAGATTTGATTATTTAAAGTGCTAGAAAATCTCAGCATTTCATTATTATTTTCTTTTACTCTAGCCATAATACTGATAGTGTACTGATTAAGTATTTACTATAAAATTGCTATCATGAAATATATGTACTACATAAATGTTTAATGATTGATAGTAGGTTTTTCATATCTTTGAATCAGTTTCTTCCTATGAACCTTCATAGCCATTGTATAGGTATTAAAGTTTTTGGGGGGCACTTGCCCCCTCCAGGGGAATTTGTGATGGGAATTATGTGCCTCATTATCTTTCTAAAATATGGGAGACTTGAATCGTGAAGCATAGTCTGGCCCTACACGTTTCAGATACAAGATTATATATGTGTACCAATGTTTATTTGTGTAATTCGTCCCCCTGATATTTTGCTGCTAACATAGGGGTTTAGCAGAACCATCACCATGGTGACAGCCTTTCAACTGGCATGAGAGAGATGGAAAGAGGAAATTCTGTTGGTGAAGTGCTCTCAGCCGAAAGCTGTGAACCCCAAGAGCCCCACCCTACCCTGTTCCAAACTCAGTAGGGTTGGCAGCAAGTTTGTCTGAACTTCTGAAGACTTGTGAAAGGTAGATGAAGGGATAAGGAATATTGAAGTGCCTTTCCTTTGGCTGTGGGCAGATAGGATCATTGTTCACTTTAGGAACACGGGATCACACTCTGCTGCTCTTGAGCATTTACCAGGACTCTGACTGTTACTTTCATCTGGACAGCCAGCCAGGAAGGCTTTTGCAGTGCATTTTAAAAACTAAAAAGCTTTCTTCCCAAAACTTCAGTGTTTAAGGCACATGCTAAGAGGTTTCAAAACATACAGGTAAATATAGTATTACAGATAGAACAGTACAGTGGCTGCTTTGTTTAAGCCCGGAAGGTTTTAGGCCCATTGTACCGCTTATTCTTTTTAAGTTAGCACATCAGACATCTAAATCTATTTTAAAAAGACAGAGGAAGAATGACTTCAACTTAAGCACTTTTGTTCAGTCAAGCTTAAGTTTACTTTGTGTATTTATTCAGTTTTTCAATCTTATATTTTAAAACTGAAAGACAAAATTATTTGACTTGAGTTTTTAATAGATACCCGCAAGAAATGACTATTGATTAGTCCTTTTTAAATTTGTCTCTTACTTTGCAGGCAGAAATAGCCATTTTAGAATACTATCTGTGTATTCTCCCTCTCTGTCTCTCTCTCTATATATGTACATAATATGTATGTATATCTATATATATACACGTATATATGTATATATATGTGTATGTATGCGTATTTATATATGTATATATATGTATATATAATGTATATATACACACACACACTATACATACTGATATTTAGAAAATTCAACATTAAAAAAAATTTTCAACATTAAAGTGACATTTACAAAAGGATTCTAAGTACATTATTAGCTTGCGGGGCACCTGGGTGACTCAGTCGGTTAAGCGTCCGACTTCAGCTCAGGCCATGATCTCATGGTTTGTGAGTTGGAGCCCCACGCCAGGCTCTGTGCTAACAGCTCAGAGCCTGGAGCTTGCTTTGGATTCTTTGTCTCATTCTCTCTTTGCCCCTCCCCCGTTTGTGCTCTAGTGCTCTATCTCTGTTTGTTTCTCAAAAATAAATACAATATGTACTTAAAAAAAAAAAAAAGTACATTATTAGCTTGCAAAGAAGTCTGACTTTTTCCTCTATGTAGCCATGCCCCATAGATTCCTTAAGATTGCAAGCCTCCGTGGTACATTTAAAATATGATTATATTATTTTATTATATTACATTATTCTTACCAAAATTCACTTTACCATAACATACCGATATTTCTGTCCTCAGAGTCTGAGTACCATGATGTATTTCTATAACCAAATACATCTTTGGCAGTAAAATCTTCCCTAAGGTAATTAAGATCCTGTCTTTTTAAACTTTGGATTAATAAAGGATTTGTTTGTTTATTCTCCAAACATTAAGAAGCCATTTTCAGTATTCTGGTCCAGAAACATTAGAGATGAGTAGTTGCCTCCTGAAGGTTCAGCAGGCAGAGAAATAAATAATCAGAGCATGGTGGCACCAAGTGAAGGCCCAGACACAACACGCGGAGTGCTGCAAGGAGGAAGACTCTGCCTGGAGCGACTGGGAAAGGGTTTCTGAAAGAAGCACCAATTGGAGTTGAGGGAGAGAGAAGAGGAGGTGCGGAAGTACAGCCCAGAGACCCTCAGTGGGGCTGCAGGAAGTTTAACTTGACTAGAAGAGGGTGTGTGCTCTTGGGAGGTAATGGACTATGAGGCCAGGCTGATTGGGGACCCGAAAAGGGCCTTAAATGCTGAGAAAAGAGAGTTCGTTCTTTCATCCGGTAGACCAGCCCTTTCCCGAGCAGACTTCCAGCAGAGTAAAGGAAGCTTGGAGACTCACAACACAGGTGCACGGCTCAGAGAAGCTCACAAAAAAGCTGTTTAACTTTTTCTGATGGAAGTTTCCCAAACTTACTTGACTATGGAACTCATTTTTATTTGGACACAAATTAACATCTCAAAATTACTCTTTAAAGTTTGAAGGATTCTGAACAAGGGTATGGTGAGGTTTGTATTTGTACAAGACGGGGGTGCCGAGAAACAGGGAAACCTATAGGGCTCGGATGTTTTAGATACCGTTCACGTTCCAAGTCAAATATTCCAATTAGAAGCTAGAGACTCAAATTTTAAATTAAGATTGTTTCCCCTTGAATATTTTTGAGAAAAGCTTATTTATCAAACAATATATGCATTTAGAAAGATCACTTCGTAAGATTTACTACTTAGGTCCCCAGTGATAAGTAATATTCCAGCTCATTTTTTTGATGAAAGGAAACCGACTAGTTTAGCTGTTTGTTTCTCTTAGTTGTTTGCGTCCACATATCTAAATGACATGATGGTGCTTTTTTGTTTTCTTAAGCACTGGCTTTTCGCTAAGGAAGGTGCAGATGTAGCACTTTTATGGGCTCACCAGGCACACACCACAGTCACTTCCATAACTGCATACATGCACACTACCTATCCTATCACTCTTCCCCCAGAGTTAGAGCATGATTTCAGATAGATCAGCATATTGATCAGCATTGTGATTGTAAATGCTGATCCAAGCTGAGCCGTGTGGCCTACTGATAAGTCTTACTTGCTTGCACAACTTTTTGTATTCCCTATAAATTATCTTTTTCATTGACTTTTTTAAATCTTTTTTTTTTAATTTGTTCACTCTTGCTTTTCTGTGTACTCTAACACCAATTCATCATCAAATTCTCCTTTCTTTACGTCAGAATCATCTGGCACTTTTACATTTTTACCTTCTTAGAGCCTCCTCTCCCAGACCTTCTGACATGCTTCAATGTGGACTGTTGGCTAGGCCTGCGACCCAGCTGTCTTGTTTTCTCCGTACCTGAGGATTTCCTTTTCCTCTCTCATGTCGGCTCTTGTATTTCCTGGACTCGATGTCATCATCTGTTTTGGTGTACTCCCTCATATAGTAATGCCGTCTTCTCCAATAACTTCCTGACAAAAAACAATTCAGGAGAGGTAAACCCTTGTATAACTTTTATGACTGAAGTCTCCACCCTCTCCTCACTCTTGATTCTTAATCTGACTTGGTATAAAGGTCTAGTTTGAAAATCATTTTTTCCACTCAGAATTTTGAATTCATTCCTCTATTGTTACGAACCATTTTGAATTTTGAACCTCTTGTGTTGTTTTCTTTTTTTGTTTTCCTTTCTGGAAGTATATACATCTTAGTTTCCAGTCTCCTGAAATGTAATGATTTTTTTGTCATGAAACAACTTTCTGTTATGAAATAAACTCATTTTCTTCAATTTTGTGAAATTTTTTTGTAGTAGTCATTTCATCGCCACTGTTTTTTCTTTTGGAATACCCACCCTCCTTCCCACCCTGTGCCTGGTGAGCCCGTAAAAGTGCTACGTCCTTCCCAGTTCTTGGACTGTTTGGACTTACTATCTGGTCTCCTTTTTTCGTATTTACCATACCTTTGTCATCTTGCTTTATTTTCAGGGATATTTCCTCGGTTTCTGTTTTTTAGTTTTGGGTTTGTTTTTGTTTTTTTCATTTCTGTGATCATATATTGTAATTTCCAAGAGTTGTTTTTGGATCTCTAAGTTTTTTGTTCTTGTTTTAGCATCCTATTCATGTTTCACTGATGTACCTTTCTAAGGATTTGACTTTTTAAAATAAATTTTTGTCTCTGCAGAGTCTGTGTGTCCATTTGCCTTTTGGTTTAGTCTCTTTCAGATTAGTCTTTCCTCAGATGTCAGGTGATTCTCGGTTGTCTCTGAGTGTCTACCAGTGGAAAGCTGGAAAGCCTTGGACCTGTAGGTGGAATTTGTCAAACAGAAGCCTCTCAGTAAAGTGTTCTGGCTTGGCCATTTCACTTCCTTGGGGTACATTGAATTGTATTTTTAGGTCTTTTCTCTTAAGATTCTCAGAAAATAATTGTCAAATCTGTACCTTAATACTGGTACAGTACTGGGCAACAAGTAGAGAAAAAAGGGTCGTGGTCTCAGCACTCAATAAACAGAGTTACTCTTAGCCTCTTTTTTTTTTCAGGGTAGCACCCCTATATTTAGCAGTGCTTGGTACCCTTCAGTCTGGACCTTCTTGGTCATACCCTCTCTGATAAATTAGCAGGCAGTCTTCGTCCAGGTCAGAGGGCTCACCAAATTGTCACTTGGTTGCATGGACTTGGGAAGAGGCCTTGAGGATCTAGGTGCCTTTTCTTTTAATTTTATTATTAACGTGTAACACACATACGGAAAAGTGCCTAAGTCATAAATGCACAACTGAGGGGCACCTGGGTGGTTCAGTTGGTTAAGTGTCCAATTTCAGCTCAGGTCATGGTCTCACAGTTCATGAGTTCGAGCCCCACATCCGGCTCTGCTGTCAGCACAGAACTGGCTTTGGATCCTCTGTCCCCCTCTGTCTCTGCCCACCCCCCACTCATTCTCTCTCTCTCGAAATAAATAAACTTTAAAAATTAAAAAAATACATAAATAAATATACAACTGAATGGATTATCACAAATGAACAGACCTGTTCTACTATGCAGGGAGAGAAATAGATTATTACCTATTCCCATAGGTGTGTCAGTCACACCGTCTTCTAATCGTTGCCCTGTTTCTCTGCAAAGATAACTAGTAGTCTGAAGATTACTTTTGCCTGTTACCAAACTTTGAACATAAGAAAATTGTGTTACGTGTTATTTTGAGTCCAGCTTGAACCTGTGAACCGCGAGATCATGATCTGAGCCAAAGTCAGACATTTAAACAACCGGCTGATCTACCCGGGTGCCCCGTGAGTCCAGTATTCTTGATCCATCATTATCTGAGATTCACCTGTGTTGTTTTGATTAATCCACAGTTTATTAATGCATCCATTCTACTCTTGACGGACGTGGTTCTTAGTTTGGACCTTCTTGGTACTTCTTCAGTGTCTTTGATCGACTTACAAGAAATCCTTCTCTTTTCATTCGTACCTTCACCCCTCCTTCCAGTGCTACCTGGTGCTGCCAAGTACTGGGCCTTGTAGAGGAGCGTTCTGTAGTGCAAAGAAAGTTAATTTTCTGCTTTCCCTACTCTTGGCTTAGGATTCCATTCTCTAGGGTCTGCCAGCTTACAGTTTGGTTATCTCCTTTCTAGCCTTTTAGGATTTCTTTGCACTGTCTCCTTTCTCACTAACGTTGTTGTGAGTTGTTATTGTTGAATGTATCTTTTTGTGTGACTGTTGGGAGGAACTTGGGTGATGCCTGTGTTCATTCCTCATTGTTTTTAAGCCAAGTTTGAACTTTCTTTTCTCCTTTTTAACTTTTAATAATTATTTTATTTAAACCAGTGAATCCAAAATATCCCTTAAAAGTGTAACCAATGAAAAAATAATTAGTGAGCTGTTGAGCTTTCTTTTTTCTTTTTTGTATTAAGTCTTCAGAACCAGTGCATATTTTATACTTACAGCATATTTCAATTACAACACTAGGTTTTCATTGGAAATATTTGGTTTGTACTTACATTTCATGCAATATCTTATTCTTTGATTTTTGCTTTAGATGGAATATCTTCCTGACAGGTATCTCAGAATAAGTATATTACCTTCTTTTACAGTAAATTTAAGTCCTTAGTTACTAAGTATGGAGGTAACAATTTTTGTTATTTACTACCCTTTCGGATATTTAAAGGTTATACTTTAAACATTGAGTCTAATTCACAGAATTTTTTTTAATAGGGTATCGCTGGAACTGACGTAGCTAAAGAAGCATCTGATATTATTCTCACAGATGACAACTTTACCAGCATTGTTAAGGCAGTTATGTGGGGACGAAATGTCTATGACAGCATCTCCAAATTTCTTCAGTTCCAGCTCACAGTTAATGTAGTAGCAGTGATTGTTGCTTTCACGGGCGCCTGTATTACTCAAGTAGGTTCACAGTTTTTTTTATTAAAACATGGTTGTTTTAAAGCAAAACTGTGTGTATAATCTGCTGCGTTAAAGTACTTAAATAGTTGAATAAACTGAACCTTAATATTATAGGTTAATTAATATAAAAATGTAATCCTGTTCTGTTCTGTAAGTTCTTAAATACAAAAGGCTTCCTGAGAATTTCTGAGTCCCTGAATAGTTATGAATGTCTATTAGGAAACCTGTCTTTTCTAGGATTCACCACTTAAGGCTGTACAGATGCTGTGGGTGAACCTCATAATGGATACGCTCGCTTCCCTGGCTCTGGCGACTGAACCCCCCACTGAGTCTCTCTTGCTCCGGAAGCCTTATGGTAGAAATAAGCCTCTCATCTCACGCACGATGATGAAGAATATTTTGGGTCATGCATTCTATCAACTTGTAGTAGTCTTTACACTCTTATTTGCTGGTAAGAATTCAATGCCTGATAAAGCTTTGGTTGTTTTTATTCCAAGCTAATGTAATCCCAGATGTTTTAATGTTACAACTTCTTCAAGAACAGAAGTTGTTCTGTTTCTGACCCCCATTTATCTTTACTTTCTCCTCTTTGTCAGTGGATGATGCTTATTAGGAAGGCACTACAATAGATAGTGGGAGGAAGTAAAAAGAATCCTCGTTTCTTGTCCTGGTTCTGCCACTAACTTCGATATCATAATTTGGGGGGTTCCATGTCCTCGTCTATAAAACAAGGGAGTTGTATTAGATAACCCCAGGTTCCTTCCAACTTTTCCTGTGCTGTCATTGGAGATCAAATAAAGGTCTGGCTAGGTTTTATTACTGCATACTTTTCTTGAAATGTTAAATTATTTTGTATGATAATTACAAAATCGTAATTTTTCATTCTTTCAGGAGAAAAGTTTTTTGATATTGATAGTGGAAGAAATGCTCCTTTGCATGCTCCTCCTTCCGAACATTATACTATTGTTTTTAATACCTTTGTGCTGATGCAACTTTTCAACGAAATAAATGCCCGGAAAATTCATGGTGAAAGAAATGTATTCGAAGGAATCTTTAATAATGCCATCTTCTGCACAATTGTTTTAGGCACTTTTGTGGTACAGGTGGGTAATTGGAAAAGATAGTTTCACATTTGATTATTATGTAGAAGATACTAAACAGGTAGCTTGTTCCAGAAGTTACTTGACTGCTACATGTGTGGGGCTTCTATGTATTGCCTTAATGACACCTAAAAAAAGTTTTAAATATCATACCTCCAGTGAAAATATGATCATTTCTATCCTGAAATCCTGAAGATCATATTAAGCTAATACTATTTTAATTGCACTACCAATTCTGTGGTTGTGATACTTTTTACTTAATCTGATACTGATTCTTCATTCTATATCATGATCAAACTATTATAATTTTAATGTTACTTAAGATAAATCTTAGTTAACCAGTTTCTAGTCTAGCTACAGGGATCGCTTAATTGCGTCCCACAGTTGATAATAATCCTTTGTCTACAGTTGAGTCTGTTATTAAATAATAATATCTGAAATGAATATTCTAAAATTCATGTGATTCTGAATGCTGCTGAGTTGGTACATGCCAGTTTTTCATTTGGCCCTTGAACAACATGGGATAGGGGCACCAGCCCACACCCTTTCCTCACCCCAGCTCACCCCTGCACAGTTGAAAATCTGAATATAACTTTGGAACTCTCCCAGAACTCAACTACTAATAGCTTACTATTGACCAGAAGCCTTACCAATAACTTAGTCAATTAACACATAGTTTTGAATGTTATATAAATACTAAATATTTGTGTTCTTACAATAATGTAAGGTAGAGAAAAAATGTTGAAAAAATGTTGCTAAGAAATCATAAGGAGAAAATACGTTTACAGTACTGTACTGTGTTTACTGAAAAAGATCCATGTATAAGTGGACCCACAGAGTTTAAACCCGTGTTGTTCATGGGTTACCTGTACTGTCAAACAAGATTTAAAATTAAATAGTGAGCTTTTTCAACAAAGGAACCAGGCAGTGATAGTGCTTGTTTTGAAATGAAGATTGAAGAATTTTAAACAGTTTATTCAGCCATAGCTTGTGTACTCTAGGTACCAAAACCCCAGACTTAATTGTTTCTGTTTTAGCTTTCAATTTCCATAAACTTTAGGAGAAATGTTGCTTACTTATCAAGTATTTTCTGGAAGTATTTTGTTTATGTTTGTTAAAAAATCATTGTTCATGACATGCTAAAGTTTTAGCTTTTACTTGCTATAAAATTGAGGTTATCTTTGTAATATGTGGGAGTTGCAAAAAATTTAACTGCCTATCAGGCAAATCTGGTAATTTGGTTCCCAGCAAAGATTGGTATACCCAAAACAGTTAAAGTGAGATATCATTCTTCAATACCTTATAAATAAGCCAGTACTGTTCAAAGTGTGGTCCGTGGACCAGCTACTGGTCCATTTATTACAGGTCCACAGTGAGATAAGGACCATGTGTCAGAATGTAAATTAACAATTTTCATTAATCACACTGTATTTCAACTGAGAGTTTTTTATATGTTGCTGGAGGTTTCTGTGGTTTTTTTTCTTTTTGCATGTAGTAGCAGCTGCAGTGGTAACGCTGTGCAAACAGTGCATTGATTTGTACTTTGGTGCCTGTTCCTTATCTTCTTATCATGGATCAGCACTTTGATTAGCATTTTTGTGGACAGTTTCACCTGGGTAGGAAAACATGGCCGTTGATTTACACAGTTAGTCTAGCCAAAATCTTGATTGTAGAGCTGAGGTACTTGAAGAGTTCACCTTATAAATTGTATTAAATTTAATTTGTCTCTT